CCTGAAGCTCAAGATGGCTTTCCAGCGCAGGGCCTTAGCGTATCATATGACCGGTGTCTCATCCTTCTTAGTGCAAGACAAGATCATCAGTGGGTGGTTTGCTCTCCTGACAAAGGAACCCGCTTCAGGATATCGCGCGGTGACATTGCAACAGCTGGTGCAGGCAGATCAGGAACTATGGTTGCATGCTGCGCAAGAAGTTCGCGGCAAGAATTTGTTGGCTACTCCCAAACCTTTGGATCAAGCTCTGACCCAGTTGCAGCAGAGTGCCGGGATTCGTTATCATTTGTTGCCGTTGCCAGCGTCACAGAAAGAGCCAAAAGATCCCCCCAGAAAGCGTTTGAAACAGGATTCGAAAGGCGACAAGGGGGGGGAAGAAGGGTCTTGGCAAGGGCAGTGTCAGTCTGCCGAAAGATTGCGTCGCGACAACGCCGGCAGGAGCTCGAATTTGCTTTCAATACAATCGAGATAGATGCAATCGACAGAACGCAGACAAGTGTCATCGTGGTGTGCATGTGTGCTGGAAGCAGGGATGCCATGGTAAGCATCCCTTCAGCGGATGTGACCAGTCGTGACAAACCGGGCCGAAGACAGGTCATTTGGACCTTTCCAGTAGGCCCACATTTGCATGCCAGAACACCAAATTTGCTTTGTCAGGATTTTCCTTCGTTTTGCCTTGCCCTTTGAGTGATCTCAAGCCAGTTTCTTTCGAGTGTACCAGTGAGCAGCTTTTGTGTGTTGAACTCTTTGCAGGGACTGCTACGCTTTCTCGATCTCTCAAGGATTGTCATTTTTCCGTTTTGCCCGTGGACTGCACTTCCGAACGGAAACCGAAGGTCCATCTTTTGCAGTTAGATCTCACGAGCCCCAGTGATCAAGCCGTGATGTTGCATGCTTTGTGTTTTGCCAACGTTGCCTCAGGACACGCCGCCCCACCGTGCGGTACCTCATCCCGGGCCAGGGACAAGCCTCTGCCTCAGGAGATGCGACATGTGCGCGCACCGCCTCTGCGATCCGAGGCTCAGCCCCTAGGTATGAGTGATCTTACTCCTCAGGATCAGGCTCGTGTTCACAGTGCCAACCAGTTGTATGCTTTCACTGCATTAGCTGTTCTCATTCTTAGCCTTCGCAATGCCATGGTAAGTGTGGAGAACCCCAGTCGCTCATACTTTTGGTTAGTCATGCTGCATTTTGCAGAGAGCAATAGTTGTTTTTCGGCTGCTTGGCATTCCTTGCAAGATGTTCACTTTCAAGCCTGTGCACATGGAGGGACTCGTGCCACTTGGAAGTGTTGGCGATCCACCCCAGGGGTGTTTGATCGTCTCCGCCAGCGCTGTCCAGGGGGTCACCGGCACGAGTCGTTCAAGCCTAGCTTCGACAAACAGCTCAACCCTGTTTTTCCCACTCAAGAAGAAGCTGCATATCCCGCTGAACTGTGTCACACACATGCTTTGGCCCTCGTTGCAGAGTGCAGTAAGAGGGGTGCTCAGTTCCCAAACTCTGCCTTCGACCCCCAAGGAGCTTTGGTTGAACGTTCAATCCCCACAAAGCACGGCATCCGGGCACTTCCTCCCATCGTGTCCGAATATGCCGTCGTGACAGATCAGCGCCCACAATCTCTGCCATTCAAGCAATTGTCCAAGTTGCCATCCTTTGTAGAAAATGGGGAGTCACGAACAGAAGGGAAAAGAGCAAAGGTCAGCAATCCACGCAAAACAGAAATCAGACTTTCCCAAGCGGACCCAAAGGAACTCTTTGGTGTCTTTCGTGAACCTGAGGTCTTTGTTGACGCCGCATTGACGGCCAAGCACCCGATTGACTATGCGTTCCCATTGCCTGACGCCTTGCTAGAGGCGGTTGCAAAGTTGATCTCAGATGGACCCAAGCTCACCATCGCAAGACGAAAGCTGGCATTGAAGAAGATTCAAGTGCGAGCGGATAGACTCAGGGCCCAAGAGCTTGAATTGCACGCCAGCCTTGACCCCAGGATCGCCAAGGTGGTGGAAGGGAAAAGCCTCCTTCTGTGGAAGGAACTCTTGGAGGAGACAAGTTTTGACGACCCTAACTTGTTTGATGAATTCTGCAAGGGTTTCAAAGTAACCGGTAAAGCCACACACTGTGATGAATTTCCTCATGGTTTTCAACCACCTCTTCGGTCCGTGGAAGATTTAAAGCAGAACTCCGTGTGGCTCAAGAAGCGGTCCATAGGTAAGTGTAAAAGCTCAGGCAATCTCGAAATGGACCGCACGGTGTGGAGCAAGACCCTCAAGGAGAGGGACTGTGGTTGGATCTGTGGTCCTTTCACGGAGCAAGAGGTAGACGCTCAGCTGGGGCACTCCCAATGGCTGGCCACCCGCAGGTTTGGATTGCAACAGCCTAATAAAGTCCGATTGATTGACAACTGCTTGTCCTCAGGTGTCAACTCAGCCTTTTCGGGAACCAACAAATTGACCCTCCTGGGGGTCGACGCCTTAGCATCCTTGGTGCTGTGTGTCATGAACTGTGTTTCAAGCTCCACTCGATTCAACTTGGTCTTGTCAGGCGGGAACGGTGTTGCGGTCGAGCCTAGCCCGCTGTGGGGTGGGAAGCTCGAGTTGCTTGGTCGGACAGTAGACCTAGAGTCAGCGTACAAACAGGTAGCAGCCAGCCCTGACGACGATTGGGCCAAAGTCATCGGTTTGGCGCCACTTCAAGTGTGTACAGCTTCAACCGTGTCAGCAAGTCAATCTGGCACATCGCTTGTAAGCTTTTCAACCAGTGGTGCATTAACTACTACGATGACTATCCGTGTGTGGACCCAGCACTCCGGGTCACAATCCTTCGAAGGCCTCCTCAAAGCGTTAGGCTGGAAGTTTGATAGCGAGGGCCCCAAGGCTACCAGGTACAACAAAGTCTTTGATGTCTTAGGCATTCGTGTTGATTTGTCGTGTTCCCAAACTGGAGTCGTCACTTTGGAAAACAAGCCAACGAGAGCCGAACGTCTCTTGGAGCAGGTCGCTACAACCCTGACAGAAGGCCGAGTGCACTCTTCGCTTGCTGCGACATTGCACGGTCAGTTGAATTTTGTTCAGAGTTTCTACTCCATATGCAACCTCAAGCCAGCCATGATGATCCTTTCGGATATTGCCAATTCGGGCTGGAAAGCGCACCATGCCAAGCTATGGGCCATCGCCGCCACGTACTTGGTGTATGCCTTAAAAAACTCTCCCCCTAGGTCGCTTTCCTTGCAAGATGAACAGAGGCCCATCCTGGTTTTCTCCGACGGAGCTTGGGAACCTGAAAACTCCGTTAAGGCAGGAGCAGGAATTGTTTTCGTAGACCCCGTCCGTGGAACTAGGATTGTGAATGAGGTCGATGTTGACCCCCGGCTTATAACTAGATGGTTAAGCATGGGAAAGACACAGATCATAGCTGAACTTGAACTGCTGCCAGTGCTTGCGGGTCTCTCCCACTATGCCGATGCTGTTCGAGGTAGGAGGGTCTTGTGGTTTGTGGACAACAACTCTGTTCGAGACATGTTGGCCAAAGGCTCGTCGCCGGCCATCCAGCTTTTCACCATGTTGGTAGAAGTAGGTCGGCTCACCCATATAGTGCAGGCCATGATTTGGTACTCACGCGTGCCTTCTAAGAGCAACATTGCTGATCTCCCTTCTCGACAGTTGCCTGAGCAAGCGGCCAGGTTAATCAAAGGGATTGTTGGCCCCAAATTGTCCTTGGGAGAAGACCTGGTCAAGGTGTGCGTCGATGCAGCCTCTTTCATTGACTTCATGGAGCAGATCGTTAGTCGATGAAAAATGGGGTGATGTGCTGCATTGTTCTCACGGAGTCATGGCCGCGTCAATG